GAATGACTTGGCTCCAGAAGTGGTGGATGCTTCATCGCTGGAGGTTTTAAACAAGAGACTGGGCAGCCATTAGTCTGGAATGGTATATGGCAGTGGTGGTGAACCTATGGCATGGGTCAATTTCAACTTCTCGTGGGAAAGAAAAAGATCTTGCAAAGTTGGAATTGATTGATAGAACTTTTTAGTCCCACCCAGTCTGCTGTTACCACCGCAGCCACGTCCACCCAATGGGCCACGCCCACCCAGCACCCGATGATGCATAAGTGGGTTTTGGGTTACAGTTTGGGCACTTGGTCTCTAAAAGATTCGCCATCACTGATATAAGGCAGGGCTTTTCAACCTTTTCACCTATTGTACCACTTTTAGGATATGGCAACATCTGAGTACCACCAGTCGCCTAGCAAGATGTCAAATACTTGATGACCCCCCCAAAAAAAGGAAAAAAGTGAAAAAAGTACAGGTAGTCGTCGACTTACAACAGTTCGCTTAGTGACTATTCGAAGTTACAATGGCACTGAAAAAAGTGCCCCCCAAGCCACAGCCGAGTAAGACATCTGCCTGCCCACTCGATGGCGCTCTTCCTCCTGTCTGAGGTTTTCATTGTTGCATTTCTCTTGAGGATTGGCAGTGGGGTGGGGTGGGGTGTGGGTGCTTGGTTTTTATTCCCCCCCCCGTCTGCTGGGTGGTTGCAGCAGGTTTTGGTCACTTCACATGACCCTGGGACTCTGTGACTGTCATAAATATGAATCAGTTGCCAACCATCTGAATGTAAATCACAAGACCCTGGAGATGCTGCAACATTCCAGCTGATCGGCACTTCTTCTGGGCTCAGCAGAAGTGCCAGGATCAGTGCTGCTTTCCAGCTGGAGCCTGGCGCTGATCCTGGCGCTTCCGCTAAGCCCTGACAGCCCTGCAGCTTCAGCCAACTCTTGCTCAGGCTTGTGCGGTGCTGCCACCGGTTCAGCTCATTCCCCTCCCCTGCTACCACTTTTCCAGGATTCTCACATACCACCTGCCAGGTGCCAATGTACCACAGGTGGTACCCGTACCACTGGTTGAAAAGCCCTGGTATAAGGTTTCCTGCTTGAGAAGGGGGTTAGACTAGAAGACCTCCAACATCCCTTCCAACAAATGTTAAATGATAAAGGGATAGATTGGCAAGGAAGAGTAGACAAAGCAAACAAGGAACTATAGAGTTCATGTCAGAAAAACTTAAAATCAAGAATGAACTGCTGTAGATGAAGGAAGCAAAAAAAAGAAAAGAAAGGGAAAAAAAGAAAAAGGCTTTTTTTAAAAAAAGAGAGAAGAATCATTACAATAAGTGTTCAGTGAAGAAGAGACATGGCAATAAAGAAAAGGCAGTTTTTAATTTGCTTCAGTTTAAACATTTGCCCTATGAGGAGGTTGTGAAAAGAGAAAGAAGAAGGATTGAATAAACAGAGAGTCAGGGAACCCCTGGCTTGAATTACTGGTAAATTCTAGGTTTAAATTATATTCTGAGGAACCATTGTGGCAAATGCAGAAGTACACAACACTGAGGAGAAACAAAAAAAACCCCCCACATTTATTGCAATGGTGGATGGGCACCTGCTTTACGAGAAAGAGGAACTCCAAGAATTTGGGAAGAGATTCTTGTGTAGTTCTCAAGGCGAGAAATCCTAGGGACTTTTGCGGGCCAGTTTTAGGGAAGCTGAGCAGGTCCCTGACAGTGATCCTGGGGATATTTCTACTGTTAGACAAAGTGGCCCCTTCAGAGGGCAGGCAGACCAGAAGAAGCCCCTTGTTAAAGATGAAATGTTGAGGCCATCAGACTGCTTGAGGACGGAAGGCGGGGTTTCTTCTAAGTTGTGATTCCCTTGCAAAGTTGCAATTCCCTTGGACTGAACGGAGTGAGGAAAGAGGAAGCTTCTATTCTTTCATTTAGATGAGATTGCAATAACAACAACAACAACCATAATATCTAGGTCAGGGGCAGGTCAGTATAGGTCTGATAGGATTAGGCAAAGAGAGGAGCTAGGGAGAAAAATACAGGGAGAAACAAAAAAGGTGCAGTATTAATTTTGTTAGATTACCGTATTTTCTAGCTTATAAGACGACCCCTGACTTCGGAGAAGATTTGCATGGTTAGAAAGTCGTCTTATACGCCGGAAAATACGGTATTTTCCGGTGTATAAGATGACTCGGCATATAAGACAACCCCCGACTTCGGAGAAGATTTGCATGGTTTAGAACAGTGGTGGCGAACCTATGGCACGCGTGCCAGAGGCGGTACCCGGAGCCCTATCTGTGGGCACACGTGCCGTTGCCCCAGCCTCGCCTCCTCCCATGACCCCCTGCTCACCAGCATCCCCCCCGGAGGAGAGTTGCCCCCGAGCGTGGCCCACACAGAACAGCGCAGCCAAGGACATGGCAGCCAGGCAGCGTAGATAAGACTGTGCCCTCATGCCCCATCCTGCACAGTTGATGCTGCGAGGCGTGGGCAGAGGGCATGGCCATGGTGCTGCTGGGCTGCCTGGGTGATCTGTGGTGGGCCATGGAGGCGGTGAGTGGCCTTGTGGGCAGGTGGGGTGGGGGATGGGGTGGGGGCAGGGTGGGGGTGGAGCAGAGGCGGGGCCAGTTTTGGGGCACTCGGTCTCTAAACGTTTCGCCATCACTGGTTTAGAAAGTCATCTTATACGCCGGAAAATACGGTATCTTCATCACAACTAGCTTTGATCTGCTGGTCTAGCTAAACCTATACAGGTAGTCCTTGCCCACAACTGAGCCCATAATTTCTCTTAACAACTGAGGCAAGAATAGTCGTAAAATGAGCCAAAACTCACTTGACAAATGTCTCACTTAGGACATTTGTCAAGTGAGTTTTGGCTCATTTTACGACTATTCTTGCCTCAGTTGTTAAGTGAACCGCTACATCTGTTAAGTTAGTAACAGCTTCTCAGAAGCTCACAAAATTTGATCACATGACCCTGGGACACTGCGACTGTCATAAATATGAACCAGTTGCCAAGCGTCTGAATGTTGATCACTTGACCCTGGGGATGCTGCAGCGGTTGTAAGTGTGAAAAAAATGGTCATAAGTCACTTTTTTCAGTGCCATTGTGACTTTGAACTGTCACTAAATGAACTGACTACCGGTAAGCAATATCTTCGAGAAATCCTGACAAATTGGTGTCAGATTAGTGTTGAATTGGTGAAGTGTCAGAATCATTTCAAAATGAGATGTGGGAGCAAATAAATTTAATAATAAATAAAAAAATAAGCATAGGAGAACCAATGCCTAAGAAGTGGAGAAAGTAAATCTCTGACCAATTTGACAGGCATCAATACCTGGTAAATTTTTAGAGCAGCTCATGAAGAGGTCGATCTGTAAGCCTCTTGATAATATTGCAATAATTAATAAAAGTCATGCAGAATTTATCAAGAGCAAACCTTGTCGGACTAACCTAATCTGAATTTTTAACCGGTAACCTCCTTAATAGTTTGTGGGAATGTTGCCGTCATAACGTATCTTGATTTCATCAAAGCATTTGAGAACCATAATTCGTTTGGATGAGGAAGCTAGCTAAATGTGGATTTGAAAACTGAAAGGTGTACATGCTGTCTTGAAAATCATACCCCAAAAGTGCTCATCCTTATCAAACTGGAGAGGTATTGAGATGGGGGATGCCTCAGTAAATGGTTTGAGTCTTATTCAGTTATTCTATTCTATTCTATTCTATTCTATTCTATTCTATTCTATTCTATTCTATTCTATTCTATTCTATTCTTCTACTCTACTCTACTCTACTCTACTCTACTCTACTCTACTCTACTCTACTCTACTCTACTCTACTCTACTCTACTCTACTCTATTCTTATCCCTATCCCTATCCCTATCTCATCCTATTCTTAATTTAGTTCCTTATGAACTAAAGCAGTAGTTCTCAACCTTTTTAATGCCGCAATCCCCAACCGGTCATAAGTTGAGGACTACTCAACTGATCATAAGTCGAGGACTGCAGCACCATTTGCAGAAAGGGACTTTTGGCGGGCTCAGCAGGACAGAGACAGCCTGGACAATTCCTATTAGCTTTTGAAAGCCAATAGAATTAGACTCTATTCAAAAGAGTCTATTCTATTGGCTTTCAAAAGCCAATAGAATAAAAGGGAGTAGCACAGCTAAGGAAAAGGGGAAAAAAATGGCGGACTGCGTTGTTTGGCGACCCCCGTGAAATAGTTGTTAGACCCCAAATGGGGTCCCGACCCACAGGATGAGAACCACTGAAGTAAAGGGAATACTTACCAGATCTGCAGAGAATATATACCATTGGGTGGGGTAGCTAGAACTACAGTAATGAGCCAGTACCTGGGAGTTGTGAGGACAGGAAAGGGCAAAACAAACTCGGATTAAAGCTAGCAAGAGAAAGGTATTGTTCTTCCAAAAACATCTGGGCTACAGAAACATTGGTTCTAGTGATGGAACCAGATCGCCTTACAGTTTCCTGACTGAACCAAGGGTGTTCCTCAATTCATAGCTTCCACGAGCCTAAAAGAGTGCCTTTGAGCAGATGTGGCCCTATCTGGACCAGGAAATCCAAGTGATGGTAACTCATATTCATGGCTGTGTGGGTCAACTATTGAAGCACATTCTAGGCGGGGCAGTATTTGAAGGTGACTCAGAAGCTACAACTGAAACAAAATGCATCGGCCATGGTTTACTAGACTCGTTCTTCTTGTTGGTCCAAATTGTAGAAAACAACTGTAACTCTGGGTTAAACAGTTGGATTCTTGGTCTTCTCTAAGCTTGGCTTAATGATGACCAAGCTGCCACTGTTTCTTCTTTCATATGTAATTTCTTTTTTAAATGTGTGAAGTGATTATTTTGTGAATTTAGAATACAGGATCAGGGTGTGTGTGTTGGTTGATTCCTCAAAAATTTTCTTAAAGATTTATGACCAACCAAGAGCAGATACAGGCCCTCTTCCTAAACAGAGCTTTCAGAAATCCCAAACAGGCAAAAATTAAAACATCATTGTTTTATTGATTTGTTCACAGAACATACAGAGTGGAGCCAGTTCATCCTGAATAGTGTTAACATGTAAAGTGCAATTCATAAAAGTGACTTACTAAAGTTTTGGAAATGTTAGTATGGCTGCATCAGCCCTCACAAACTGTTCATACGGTAGTTACACAACAAGGAAACACTATAACAAAGAATGTTCTGGCTTACATACAAATCAGGAAAACAAAAATCAGTCAGATGTTTTTTTACAATAAATAAAAATAAAAGCATCCTTAACTTTTATTGTGCCCATTATCCAGAAGCTAAGAAGTCTTGTCCATCAGCTTCAATGACAACTTTTTTTTAACTTGTCAGTTTTTCTATTCCCCCCCCCCCATTAAATGTACAGTATTGGAGCATCACAACCCTATTTGCAAAATTCCAGAAATCCTAGTTTAATCTTCGCTAAAACGTTGCCCCTTCGCCAAAGTACAAATCATAAAAAGATTCTTGATTTCCAAAATCTAGCCTTCTTCCTATCAGACCAACCAACCGTAGCGTAAATTCTACCTTGCTAGAGAAACACAAAACGTTACAAGAGTTCGTTCCAAATGCATAGTGCAGTACATGAGCAGCATTTCTCACCCTACCTCCCAGTTTCACACATAAATAAAAGTCAGTTTAAATTACATATTATTATTATTATTATTAAATATTAAATATCCCCTTTCCCCCCCTCCTTCAATTTCAGCAACGAGGAATGTCCCTTTCCTGTTGCATAATGCTGTGTGTCAGTTGAGGTCAAGTCTCTGTGACGTCAAGCCTTGCTTGACAGCCTCTGTGCAGGAACGCACAGGCTGCGGTCCAAACCGCCTGTCCCCTTTCTGCATCTTTTACTTCTGCTTTACAAAGAGACTTTTCTGAAGCCCCCCCCCCTCCTCCGAGCACGGCAGTCCCTCCATTGGACTTCTTGGTCCGTTTCTACCTCCAGTGGGAGGGGTGGGTGTCGATCGATCTTCAGAAAGCAGCCGGATTCTGCTCCCAAAAATGGGTGATGTCAAGGGCAGATTCGGAAGACCTGTCCTCTCCCCACGACCACTCAGAAGCATTGGCCACCATGGCGATTTCCACGGAGGAGGCCGATACAATGGGTTGCTGTGGGATTATGGGCTGTTCCAAAGGGACAGGTGGGACCTGAGACTCCCAGCTCTGTAGAGAGCAGCTGGATGTGTTGTCCTCCAGTGTGGCTCCAGCAAGGAGGTCATCCTCTGCAGTGTAGACTTGGAAAAAGACAACGGCGAGGAGGATGAAGAGGAGGGACTTAGCGTAGCTGCGTTCCTCAGTGGGGTAGTAACGCTTCACCTGGAAAAAGAGAACCAAGAAAGGGGATTAGTGACACAGCACCCTGATAAACTCTGCATTTAGTTTGACGCCCCTGCAATGAATTAATGCCCTTTTCCTTGTCATATACGGGGGGGGGGGAGGAAATCCCTCCCAGGGATGATTCTGATTCTAAAAATAAAAGGCACCAGGCCCACACTGGCTGGGGAATTCTGGGAATGGAAGGCCACACAGCTTAAAGTTGCCGAAGTTTGAAAAATACCTCATTAGAAGGATCTATTGCCGCTGTCCCCTGGAGGGAGGATGGTTACAGTCCTACAAAGCAGACAATTTGCCTCCAGAAGCTGTGGGTGCTCCGACCCTGGAGGTTTTTAAGAAGAGATTGCACAACCATTTGTGTGAAATGGTATAGGGGTTCCTGCCTGAGCAGAGGGTTGGACTAGAAGATCTCCAAGGTCCCTTCCAACTCTGTTATTCAGAAAAGGTTGAGGATAGCTATTTAGAGCAGTGTGTTGTTGTTTTTTAAAAAAATCTATGGTGGCTTTAAGACAGTGTTTCTCAACCTTGACAATTTTAAGGCATGTGGACTTCAACTCCCAGAATTCCACAGCCAGCATTGGAGTTGAAGTCCACATGCCTTAAAATTGTCAAGGTTGAGAAACACTGCTTGAAGAGATGTGGACTTAATTCCCAGAATTCCCCAGCCAGAATTCCAGAAGTTGATGTCCACACCTCTTAAAGCTGCCAAGGTGAGAAACACTGATTTAGAGACACCCCCTAAATCTTGCACAATCACTGGGAAACAATCCCCACTAAATACGTATGCTGCTCCTACGGGAGCAGCGTACATGAATTTGCAGTGTGCTAGACCCAGAATGCTTTCCTCGCTGCTCCAATCTTTCTCCAGATCATCCCAGGACAAAGTAGCCATGGATGGAAAGTAATCAAGAAGAGAAGCAACCTAGAACTAAGGAGAAATTTCCTGACAGTGAGAACAATAAACCAGTGGAACAACCTGCCTCCAGAAGTTGTGGGTGGAGAAGTTTGAAGAACAGGTTGGACAACCATTTGTCTGAAATGGGCACAGGGGGTCGGACTAGAAGACCTCCAAGGTCCCTTCCAACTCTGTCACTCTGTTATTCTTGGCCGTGAGGACTTTAAGACGTGGGGACTTCAACTCCCAGAGTTCCCCAGCCAGCAAACATCTTAAAAGGGGTCAAGATTGAGCAAGACAGTCTTGGACTGACCCAGTTACCCTCCCGTTTCTCGGACCGGGCTGCAAACCGTCCCCACGACTTACCACTGGAGGATAGAGAACCTTCCGGGAACGTCTCTTGGACTTGCTGGCCTTAGTGAAGCTCCGGTGGGCAGGCCTCTTCTCGTCCTCCGGGAGAGGATCAAAAGTGAAGTATTGGGGCTCGCTAGGAGCGGCCCTGCCGGAGATTTGAGGCATGCTGAGCTGTGTCAAAGTCGGCTTGCAGGCGTAGCACATGGTCGTCCGACCCCAGGCAGAGGAGAAAGCAAAGCAGCTGAAAGCGTTTCAAACTGAGGAGTCGCTCTCTGCCGGACCCGATTTTATGAACGGGAGAGGCCCCGCCTTCCTCGCCACCCCATTGGCTAAGCCGCTGTAGCAGTAGACAACTCACACGGGAAACTCCCAGCTCAACAGTTTTAGTTCATTCAGGTGTAGGAATGTCACGCACAAGCAACCCCCTCCTCCGGAGAGGGGATGAGGGGGAAGGGAAGGAGATTGGTGCCAGCGAAAGGCTATTGTTTGCAAAACAGGTGTCCCCACGCCCTCTCTGTAGTATACGATACACCACTAAAATACACGGAGAACTCGGCTTCTTTTCCCCAAAGCTAAGGATTTCCTTGCAGTCTTTGCATCTCTTCCTGGTGCAAAAATGTGCGCGCGAGAGAGGTGGGTAGCCAATTTTTGAACCCCGTTGACCGCCTCCCCCGCCCACAAATTTAAACTTTGTGGCGTCGTGCCCAACGGCTTCCAATGCAACGTTAAGCCGCAGCCAGAACGACTTGTCCTTGTAATGGTCTCCAGATCTGCTGTTGCTCTTAGCTGCAGTATAATTTATATCCCACGTTTATTACGTTCATAAACAACTCAAGGCAGGGAACATACCTAAATACTCCCCCCCCCCGCTCCTTTCTCCTCCTATTTTCCCCAGGACAAGCCTGCGAGGTGGATTGGACGGAGGGAGAGTAACTGGCCCAATGCCATCCAGCTGGCTTTCATGCCGGCTTAGACGGGACTAGAACTCACGATCTCCTGGTTTGTAGCCCCGGGGCCTTAAACCAGAGGTCCCCAACCTTTGGGGCACCAGGGACTGGTTCCTTGGAGGAAGATTTTGGAGGAAGATTTTTCCATGGATCGGAAAGTGTATCGTTTTGTGTGCTGCCTGCACCCCACAGATGGGGCTTTGCTTGTTTGTGTGGCCCAGTTGCTGGCATGCCGTGGCCCAGTTCCGGTCCATGGACCAGGGTTTGGGGACCCTTGCCTTAAACACTAGACCAGACTGGCTTTAAAAGAGTAACTCAATTTGGCTGCATTTTAAAGATAGCAAGGGGGCCAGATTAAGGCAAGAGTCTCTCTATGCAATGCCATCAGTAACAAGGACACCCAGTCTGCTGGGAGTTTATCATTCTTCCCATAATTCCTCTCTCCTTTCTTGATGGCTGAATCTTAGCAGGCCTGGCTCAGGATGCTGTGTTGAGGGAGGGAGAGAGGAAGGGAGGGAGGCAGTCTTGCATCAGTCCTGCTAAAGCAGTGGTTCTCAACCTTTTTAATGCCGCGACCCCCAACCGGTCGTAAGTCGAGGACTACTCAACCGGTCGTAAGTCGAGGACTACTCAACTGGTGCAGCACCGTTTGCAGAATGGGACTTTTGGCGGGCTCAGCAGGGCAGAGACAGCCTGGACAATTCCTATTGGCTTTTGAAAGCCAATAGAATTAGACTCTATTCAAGAGAGTCTATTCTATTGGCTTTCAAAAGCCAATAGAATAAAAGGGAGTAGCACAGCTAAGGAAAAGGGGAAAAAAATGGCGGACTGTGTTGTTTGGCGAAATGGTCATTCGACCCCAAGTGGGGTCCCAAACCACAGGTTGAGAACCACAGTGCTAAAGATTCAGACAACAAGAAAAGAGGGAGGAATTATGGGAAGAGTGAAAGATAAACAAGGTAGTCCTCAACTTAGGACCGTCATTGAGCCCTGCAGTGACAGTCATAAGTCATGAAGGTTTTCAATCAGGTGATCACATGACCAGATCCAATTTTGCAATCTTTTCTCTACAGATCGTTGAGCGAATGCAAGAGTTATAAAACAAATATTTTTTTGATCCATTTTTGAAAACCAGAAGTAAATACGGGTAGTCCTCAACTTACAACAGTTCATTTAGTGACCATTCCAAGTTACAACGGCACTGATAAAAGTGACTTATGACTGTTTTTCACACTTTACGGCCGTTGCAGCATCCCCACGGTTCCATGATCAAAATGTGGATGCTTGGAACTGATTCATATTCACGACGGTTGCTGTATCTCAGGATCATGTGATTCCCCTTTTGCGACCTTATGTCAAGCAAAGTCAATGGGGAAGCCAAATTCACTTAACAACTGGGTTACTAATTTATCAGCCTCAGGGATTCACTTAACAACTGTGGCAAGAAAGGTCATAAAATGGGGCAAAACTCACGTAACAAATTTGTCAGTGAACAGCAAAAATTTTGGGCTTAATTGTAGTCATACGTTGAGGACTACCTGTATCAATTTCTGGGGAAAAATGGAATAAATCACAGTCACATGACTGCAGGGCGCTGAAAAACAGCTGTAAAATGCAGGTTGGGTTATTGAGCACCCAAAGCGTGACTGCATGGGAGAGAGAAACTGACATTGGAACTTCAAAACTGGATCCTAAGTAGCTTTATTTATTTATTTGTCAAATTTAGACAACAGCTACCTCACCCAGAGATAACCTTGGAGGTCTGTCGTAACTTTGAATGGTCGCTAAGCTACCAGTCGTAAGTTGAGGACCACCTGCCTGTCATCCGCAGAGGTCCTTGTCACTCATGTCCTGCCCTCCTTTGCCTTAATGGAACTGGGAAGCCTCTGTCCATTTTGGCTGGACAAAGAACATTTGCTAATGATCTGGCACTCTTGCTGTGGATGTCCTTGTTCCCGTTCTGAAGAATGTCATTCAGGGATTCTCTCACACGCTCACGGCTATTCTGTTCTGTTTCTAAATGCGTTTTAGTGAATAGGTGGGAAGGACATACTCTACTGTTGTGTTCTTTTTTTTTTATATTGTTACTGTGGGGCAGAACATCCTCTTGCATCGTCCCCTGTTCCACCCCTCTACTCACCCCTTTGCTCTCCCTCTAATTTATTTATTTGTTTATGAGACTTATATACCGCTTTAAGTGCAAGCACTCTCTAAGCGGTGTACACCAGTAAGCAATGTATATATATATTTACATTGCCCCCAACAATCTGGGTCCTCATTTTACCTACCTCGGAAGGATGGAAGGCTGAGTCAACCTTGAGCCGGTAACATTTGAACCGCTGACTTGCTGAACACAGTCAGCTAAAGTGGCCTGCAGTACTGCACTCTAACTGCTGCGCCACCTCCTTTGTCTTCTGGTTTCAGGGAAGAGAATTGGTTCTCTTGAAGTTTTCTTTCAAAATAAATGCACCTTTGCATCCATGTATTTAGTTGCAAAGGGATCGAGGCTTGTTTGTGTGTGAATATCTGGTTCTCAGGATGACTCTATACTAGGATAGGGCATTGCATGCCAAAACAACTAGACACAAAGACAGTTTTATCACCCATGACATCAGTCTGCTAAACACCTAATTCCCACAGCAATGTCTTACACATAAGGATATTTAGTAGTAGGGGTGTATTACTGTTATCTTTCTCATCGCTGCTATTACCATCTCCTATTGGTATCTTATAATAATAATGATGATGATGATGATGATAAAGTTGGAAGGGACCTTGGAGGTCATCGAGTCCAACCTCCTGCTCAGGCAGGAAACCCTACACCATTTCGGACAAATGGCTGTCCAACCTCTTCTTGAAAATTTCCAGTGTTGGAGCATTCACTGCTTCTGGAGGCAGGTTGTTCCATTGGTTAATTGTTCTCACTGTCAGGAAGTTTCTCCTTAGTTCTAGGTTGCTTCTCTCCTTGCTTAGTTTCCACCCGTTGCTTCTTGTCCTGCCTTCAGGTGCCTTGGAAAATAGCTTGACTCCCTCTTCTTTGTGGCAGCCCCTGAGATATTTATCACTTTGTTGTTTGTATGTACATTCAGAGCTTAAGCACTGGAGACAATTTTTTTGTGTGTCTAAGCACATTTGGCCAATGAAGCAGAGGTCCCCACCCTTTCCGGGTTGATGGCCCAGAGGGAAAGGGAGGAGCAGGCAAATTTGGGGGTGCTTGTGCATGCTTGCTTGTGCACAAATGGGGCCACGCAGATCACATGATGTTCATGGCGCCGCTAGCACCCACGCGCCTGCACCTGTGCGGATGTTTGCGGTGGCGCTAGTGCCCGCACGCATGCTCAAACAGAGCCAGGCACACTTGCTGGTGCTCGCAGCAGCACTAGACCCATGCACATACGCAAACGGGTCTGCTAGTGCCCGCATGTATGAGCAAATGGGGTGCTAGCACTCGTGGCAGCGCTAGCACCCATGCAACGCTTGTGGCAACGCTAGCCCAAGTGGGGGGAGTGCGTTCACACATGTGCGCACACTGGCCAGCCATTCCTATGGCCAATTGTCCAATAGGCCACGGACTAGTAGTGGGCTGCGGCTCATAGATTGGGGACCCCTGCAATAAAGAATATTCTATTCTTCTATTTCTATTTATTTGTCCAGGGCTATTTTATTTGATCAAGGCTCTTTCGTTTTCTGGATTTCCAGGATTCCTCTAAATTCCAAAGGAATGATCAACCCTTCAAGACAAATGAAATCTTGAAACAGATTCTTTGTGGCTACTTTACTGTAATACGGCATAATAACAGGATCTTGAAAAGCAGTCAGATTCTGCTATACCAACAAAACCAAGATGGGCTTATTCTGAATTTCTTCTTCATATTTTCCATTTTCCCAAGGCTGAATCGCTGTTTCACTTCTCTTAATGGTTCTTCTCTTCTAAGGTCATTTCCACAATTCTTTACGAGGAACTGTTTGAATGAATATCTTCCAGTGAACAATTTTGATCAGATGACCATGGGGATGCTGCTACGGTTATATATGTGTGAAAAATGTCCCTAAGTCCCTTTTTTCAGTGGTGTTGTAACTTTGAACAGTCACTAAACAAATTTGGAAGTTGAGGACTACCTTGTCTATGGATACAAAGGAAAAGGCGGCCTATTAGTGGTGCTGTTTAAGTCTGCCAAAGTTTGACAGGTTGTCAAAAATAATCATTTTGACATAAAGACCTTAGGACAGGATGTAGTTCGGGTGTCAGTCACCCTGGTGCACTTCACAATTGTTGCTTGCAAGATGCAAAGTCACACTGACACACTTGCTCCAAAGGCTTA